GGGGACAGCTCATTCTCCTTCCTCCTGTACAGTAAAGCCATCTGACACTAGCCGGGGATGACCATGGCATTTTCTTCTTCCTTTCAAATCTGCTTTGCACATGGAGTTAATTAATCATTCTGAGACCTCACTTAATGAGATAAATTAATTTGGAGAAGGGCTCTCCTGTCTCCCCAGCTGCGCAGGCATCATGCAATGGCTGGATAATGCCTCCGTTAGCTGCCTCACTCTTAACTGCTCAGAGGCTGGGCTCTGGAGCCTGCAGGGTCTACTGAGACTTCCAACACTGGGCCGAGGTCCTCGGGAGCTGGGAGCTCTGGCATCCCCTTCTAGTAGTCAGTGGGAGTCATGGCTGCAAGGAGCTCGGCCCATCTGGCTCTGCCTCTAGGTAGGCTGGTGGGGCGGCTTCTGGAGAGGTGGGAATCCTGGCTCCTGCACCTGTTTAGCTGGGGCTTTCAGGCTCCTCCCATCTCCCTTCCCAACCCTCCCGGGCTCTTGCAGCTAGCTCAGGGCCCACCTCCTGCAGGAAACTTTCCTCAGTCACCCCTGCTGGCTCCTCTCCCTGAACACTTGGGTACGCACAGACACACACCAGGTTCTGGTGGCTTCTGGAGCCAGAGAGCATTGGGCAAGCCACACCTCAGGCCCTTGAGGGCAGGGGCCACATCTGGCACTTCTCTGGTGTTCTCTCAAGCCCAGACTACAGAGCAGAGGGCTGCTCCATCAGTCCGAGTTGGAGAGTTAAACAGTGCTTCACAGCGGTGACTGCTGGGATGGCTGCTCAGGTCCCCTTCAGGAATGACGCGTCACCCCCCAGCTGCAGGATGTACTGTGGCAGACAGCTGTCAGCCTGGACAGGTACTGCCCTGGGAGCAAAGAGCTGCCGGCCCGAGGCTGTGGCAGCCACATCCAATGACCAGGAGGCAGGAAGGCCTGCCCCTCCACTCTGTCTTGGGGGAACTCTAAAGAGTCACCCCAACTTCAGAACTCCCTTTAGGGACAGAAGCCCCACACAGACTGCGCTGCAGCTCCCCTTCCCCTTGGCCCAGTCCCACTCCCTGCCTTCCTGTCTACAGGTGTTGATCCCAGGGCACCCTGTCTGCTAATCACCCTCCCAGAGTTGGCACTCCAGGGAACATACACTCTGACGTTTGTTCACTGCTCAGTTTGATCATTTCTTCAAATGGAATAGGGAAGGGGAATGAGTAGAGAAAATCCCCCTTTGCCTCCGAGAGACAGATACTGGCAGTGGCATCAGCGGCGTGGCCAGGACTCTCCTCTCACGAGCCCACGCCTCTGCCCCGCAGCCTGTGGAGAGGTAGCTTGGGTGGGAGACAAACCTCAGCAGGCCCCCCATCCAGTCAGCAGGTCTCTAATCTCTAACTTGCGGGGAGATGGTGCCCGGAGGCACGTTGCTCTCTGAGGAATGCATGAAATACTCATCTAGTACATTCATTATCATGAAATGCATAATTTTGTCTGAAGTCAGCAAACATCTCTGATGAGTTTCCCAAAATAAACAAGTGGTTACCAGTTGTCCAAGTGCTGCGTACATTTTTCAGGAGAAAGCCTATGCACAGCTCATGATCTTAACCTTTTTCTGCAAAATGAGGAAAAGGCGTCCACACGTCAGTTTTAATCACGGAGTCCCTGGAAGCAGCCCACGGAATGTGGGAGCAGAGCCTGCAGACAGCTGCTCTGGGGGAGTCTCCTTCGCTGGCTCACAAGCAAACCCAGGGAGGTCAGATCATGGGATGCCAGCTCACCCTTGCTGCACGTGTCCCATCTTACAGTGCTTCCCGAGCACCTCAGACTCCCCTCTGATCTGAAGAGTGGGCTGGCAAGAAGACCATTTCCAGGGGTCTTACAAGGATTAACTCCTTTCAGCCTTCCCATGAGTAGGTCCATTTTACAGAAGAGGAAGTAGAGTTTTTAAAATATGTAGCAGTTTGCCCAGACCGCAGAGTTAGCAATCGGAGGAGTGGGGTTCATGTCCAGTGCCTAATTCCAGGGCATGTGCCCCAGACTTCGAAATCTTGAAAAGAAAAGCAGTAAGAGCGTACCCAAACCCTGAGTTCCAGCTGGAGCTCTGATGTAAGGCAGAATGCTTGCTTCAGGCTGCAGAGCATCACAGAATCCCAGGTCCAGCCACCCGCTCGTGCTGTGTGGAGTTTGAAGCTATTGGACACCTGGCTGATAGAAGGCCACAGACCCTGGCAGGCATTCCATGGAGAGCCACAGAGACAAGGGAGGATAGAGCAGGACATTACCCTTCATGGGACATTGCAGCCACACCCCAGTTAGGCACTTGCCAGCTCCCTGCTTTTGGCCTTTTTTCGGCCAAAGGTCCACCTGAGATTGTGGTGTCAAAAGGGCCCAAGATCTGTATCCAGTAGAGGCGAGTTCAGCTCTGCCACTTCTTACCTGAACAATCTCGGGTACTGTTCCTGTCTCAGCTGTCCGTCTTTTAAATGGGGAAATACTACCTGCTCTCCCCACAGCAGAGGGTGTGATCAGAGGCATGACGCAGATGTGTACCCCATGACCACCAAACCTGATTCTGGCTGCCTCCCTCTCTGCCCCCTGTTGTTCCTAGAGTGCAAGGCCCTTCCACTGTGCTGGAAGCCCCCACATACATGGAAAGTTACTCTGCTGTACAAAAGTATTATCAAGGTCAAATATAAAGGTTTGGGACATAGTAAGGCTCCTACTTAATCTATAACCAGCTGGGAAGGTCAGAGTAGACCTGGTAATATTCTGCAGCTGTTCCTCAAATGTCAGTCACATGCTCCCCCAAGGACTCAGGAGGCCCCCATGTGTTAGCTTCTGCTTCCAGACAATGAGGTCCTTAAACTACCTGGCTGCCTGCTCTTCTCCTGAAAGCCGGACTCCGTGATGGCTGAGTGATGGACTGTACGGGGTTCCGGACTGTGAGCAAAGGTGCAGCGGCCCAGCCAGCACACAGCACTTGCCCAGGGTGCCTCTGCTGCCCTGAATGCAGAGTCTGAGCCCCTGATGGTCAAGACGTTTGCTCCCTGAGTCCGTTCTTGGTGTGGCTGGGCACTCTCTCCTCCCATTTCAGGTGACTTCCTCTGGCTTGGGTCCCTGTGATGTGGGGGCAGCTGCCCCTCCCCTCTCCGCCTAAAGCCCTCAGGAGTTTATCGGCATGAACATTCTTTCCTTGAACCTCCTCTTCCCTGGCCCTAGTCCGTTCGCCTCTCCTCACAGGACATACTTTCCATCCCTTTAATCATCTTTATTGCTGGGCTTTGGACCTTGTCCCAGGTCCACATCCTTTTGCGAGGTGTGCTGACCTAACCCGGGCATTTGTTAACATGAGTGCAGCTTGGCGGAAGTCAGCTTCCCAAAGTGTGCGTGTCATGCTCTTCCTACACTCCTGGGCTGTGCCTCTGCTTTCCGGAGGCCTGCCACTGTCCAAGGGATCCCTGCTGAGTGAGGTGACATGGACTGCACGTGGAGGTGGGGCTGACCTGAATGCCAAGTAGTAGCCTGACATGGGCTGGGCCTGGGAAGCGGGTCATCTGGAAGCCTGGGGACTCCCCACACCTCCAGACACACACTCAGAACCACAGGACAGAGGAGGAGGGATGCCAAGCCTCTGCCCACTCGATTCCTCCCCAGACCCTATGAATCCCATGCCCCTTTAGCAGGGTGCTCCCTACTTCTTCTCTCCACCAGAAACCAGGAATTAGCCCCTAATGGCTGCACAGCACAGAGGCAGCACACGGTGCAATAACCACTCTGGTCAAGCCTGGAGTACTGCTTGGTCCGACTCTCCTCAACCAGTTTCTGCCTCTGATGCTGCTGCATGACGTGCCCAGTGGTTTTGATTTCTAAGCCTTCCTCCCAGCTAGCTGTACATTCACAGTCATCTGGGACTGTTTCAGACCCACTGAACCCACCAGCTGATGAGACGTTCCGGGTGCCAGTCTTCCATCCACCCCAAGCTGTGGCCACCACCCAATACTCCTTGTTCAGAGCCCATGTGTGGAGGGAAGAATCAGGGACCCTGGTCAGCCACAGCCCTTTCCGAGTAAGGGATGTTGGCTGGGCTTTTTCTTGGCTCTCTGAAAACATTCTCTGTTCATTAAGGATAAAACCACAAGCCATCACCTTTACCTAAGAGGAAATTATGGGGGAAAACACCTTATGTTAATTCCTCAGGGAGGAGCCTCTCCCTCCCTCCCTTCCTCCTTTCCTTTCTCTCTCTTTCCTTTTTTTATATTTCCATCCAGAAATAATGCATGCATACTTAAGCAAAAAATATAACCTAACTTCCCTTCAGCATGAATGACCACATTCTACAAACATTTTTCTGCACCTGGAGTTTTCCATTTGAAATACACCTTCAAGACCTTTCCACAGAAGAAAAGCTTCAAGGCAACAAAGGCACACCCTCCCAGGACGCTGGCCTCTGCTACTTGTTCCTATCCAGAACCACCTCATAGCACTTTTTCTGCCCCCCTGGCTGCCACCCAGCTCCCTGAGGTCCCGGGAGACCCTGGTTTCTGTCTTCCTTTCTGTGAGCTCCTCCAAGCCTCCCAGGGCAGCAGCACATGCAGTTGCTGATCTGTGTGTCGCCTGTCACAGCAGAGCTGAGCACAGGCCAGGGACAACTCCCAGTGACTGCAGAGGAGGAAAGACACCCTTGGAATCACGAGCTCCAGAGCCTCCTAGGGGCCATGTCTCAAAACGCACGTCGTCTGGGTCTAGTCCCTCGAGGATGGCTATTGGCACTGTAAGGTCGGTGGAATGAACATTTCTCCTCCTGCAAAACCTGGACCCTGCCCAGGACTCCTCAGGGGATCCACTGCCTGGGCCAGCCAGGAGACGTGTAGCCCCCACTGCCCCACCGGTAACCACTTCATCTCACAGGCATCAGCTGGTGACTGGGAAAAGCAAAACACTGGCCAGAACTGATGGAGCTGCAGACGTTCAACCGGAGAAAAAAACCCAGAGCTGGATGGAGTCTCTCCTACCTTCGATCATTCCTCCTCCTGCGGAACAGCTTCTTCGTGTGCGCGATCTCCACTTCATGGGGCATTGGATGGTAGCCCTGCATGGTGGAGGAGGAACAGGGGGTCATTAGTTACTTCCTAAAGACAGCAAGGTACTTCTGGGACTGAAGTAACAATGGCAATGTCTGTGACAAAAAGAAATGGAGAATTTGGAAAGACCAGGCCCCAACTGCCAAACCTAGACTGAAAAATGGAAAATATTAGACTTAATGGACTAGAAATGATGAATCTGTCAGGTAACGATGCTAGAATTACAGAATAGTAGGGACACACGTAGATGTGTCCCTATTATATCCAGTCACTCAAATTACAGTTGAGGACACTCAGGTCCAGAGAGGTGGATGAACTGGGTCAAAGACCATAGAGAATTAAGGGCAGAGCTGGGACCAGATCCCAGATTCACTGGCTGATGACTGAAGACAAGTTACATTTCTAACATCAGGTTTCCTAACACAATGGGAATGTTACTGTCTTCTCTGAGCTGTTGGGAGATCAAGGAGATGCAGTTCCCTTGCAAAGCCTGAGCCTCATGCAGAGGGAACATGCTAGGCAGGACATGTGCTTCCCCCTCCTAGTCCAGAACGCTGCATGCAATTTTTCCCGGAGATCCTCATTTCTCATACTCATGGGGATAATTTAGGAATGCTTATAATTTCCCTAAATTATAGCTAAATGCCTTTTAAAACTTTAAACTGGGGAAAATTCTAAGGATGGGCTTTTGTAAATGTGCTATGACAGCAACTATTTATACCTTTATATCAAGGTTGGAGACCCTCTACTGACCATGCAGGGCTGATTCTGCAAATGCCAGGCCCCAGTAGAGTTATCTACAGAAGCTGGGTGGATGGCCAGCCCTGTTCTAACCATCGCCCTCCTCCCAGCAGAAAAGTGTATTCTGGTGGGACACAGGGGAGGGTGTGTTTTGGTGGGATGGCAATGCCATGCCATTATGGGCAGCCTGGGATGGGTAGGGGACAAGGGTACCTAGGACTGGAGGTCTGGGGGGGCGGTGGTCTAGCCTGGGCACAGGCCCTGACACACAGTACACAGCACAGGTGTGACCCCCATGCTAAGCACAGGATCTAGAGCATGCACACGTGGAGGGAGAGTGACAGAGCCCAGGGTGCTGCAGAGTCCACTTAGCCCAAGCCCCCACTTTACAGACAGGGAGACTGAGGACCAGAGGGCTTGTGGAATGATTTAGAGACAGGCAGTTACTCCATGGTGAGGTCACCTGATGCCGTGTGGATTTGTGCTCCAGGGTGGAGGGCCCCACTGGCTGCCTTTCATGGCCTGGTCCCCAGCCAAGAGGAGGGCAGGGTGGACGCTGGCAGCCCTGGCAGCCTCAGGGAGCTTCCAGGGGTTGGGAGGTCAGGGATCGGGAGCACAACAGGCCCAGGAGGACCCAGGGAGTTGGCACTACAGACGGTTGGCCTAGACTCCTGTTGAGTCCAGGGACGGTATGACACATTTTGAAATTTACTTTTAATAGTTGTCCCTCTGTCCCACCTGTGTCTTGCCTTCCACAATCTGGCCAAGAGGCATGAATGAATTCCGGGCTCCAGGCAGCCACAATGGGCCTCTAAGGCCTTCGGATGTGCTTTGTTTAATGGTTTTCTCAAAGGATATTATTTGCTTTCTTTAATACAAAACACAAACAAGGAAAAACACCAAGTCTTCCCCTCTCATTTCCCCTCTCCCACCCTGATCCAGCTCCAGGCTGGTTCCTTCCCTCCCTCCTGGCCTCAGGTCATTGCAGGAACATGCTGGGTGTGCCCCACATAGACAATGGAAGGAAGCTGAGGCTCCCTCTTAAGCTGGTGGCCTGCCTAGGACCTCAGCTCTGAGGCTGGGCAGAGAGAGCTGTCCACAACACTCAGGCTTCCACAAGTCCAGAAGGTGCCAGCCTCCCCTGTCTGGGCCTCAAAGAGTCCTGGGCCCTGACCTGTGCATCCTGGCCTCCTTCCCTGACACGCTGGCCATGTCATCTTCCCCATCTCCAGCAGAGGTGGTTTTCAGGGAAGGCGCATGGGGAGCTCAGGTGAGGGAAGGCAGAGGGACTGAGCGGAGAGCCTGGTGCCCAGGTGGTGCACGGAGGAAGGATGGGGAAATTCTGCCTCCTGTGTCTCTGGCCTGAGGCTGACACACCCCAGTACAAGGCCAGAAATGAGCTGAACAAGTGACAAAGGTGACAGAATGAAACCTGCGTCTTCCCTGAAAACCACCCCTGCTGGCCTCTCTCCGCCAAGACTGGGAGCTCCACGAGGGTCGGGCCCAGAGCTGGCTTGTTGGTCCTGGAACACTCAGCCCTGAGCAGAGGGCCAGGGTCATAGGGAAGATGACATTGATGGTACAGTGATGACACTAGAGGTACTTTCTGAGCTTTACTGCACGTTAGGCTCCTTCCTCAGAAACAATTCAGGCCAGGGCTGAGAGGCCTTGCCCCACTGACAAGGCCACCTGGAGCCCTAGCCTACTGGCATCTTGGTGAATAAACAGAGGCACTTCCCTGGGGCACTTACACAGGAGCTCCTGCATAAAACGGGGTGCACTATATTTATAAAGCTTCACTGGGGGACCTGCTTCAATCAGTCACCTTATTCCTCAAACTCAAGATGGTGGTTGGTCCCGAGTGACACACACAGCTTGGGACGCTGCTCACATTCCCCACGTAACAAGGGCATCTAGGTGCCATCAGAGGCAAACATGAGGCCGACAGAAGAGGAAGAACATCTCTGCCATCAGACTAGCTGCCAGTCCAGATGCGCAGAGATCCTTTAGTCACTGGAGAGAGTAAGACTTGTCCCTGAAGGTTCACAGAGGCATCATCTGTAATAGCCCAACATGGAAACAACCTGAATGTCCATTGACAGATAACCAGGTAAACAGAATGTGTTATAGCCACACCATGGAATAGTACATAGTCAGAGAAAGGAATGTTTTGATCCACACTACAACAGGGATGAACCTTGAAAACATCATGCTCAGGGAAAGAAGCCAGTCGTCAATGACCACACACTGTATGATTCCACTTATTTGAAATGTCCAGAATAGGCAAATATGCAGAGATGGGAAGTAGATTCGTGGTGGCCAGAAGCTGAGGAGAAGGGGCCTGGGTAGTGACTGCTCATGGGGACTGTATTTCTTCTTAGGGTTATGAGAATATTCTGGAATTAGACAGTGGTGAGAGTTGCACCTTGAGAATATACTAAGACCATCTAATTGTACACTTTAAGAGGGTGAATTTTATGGTATGTAAATTACATCTCAATTTGAAAAGGTGGAAAAAAATATGTGGTGGCAGTATATTCCAGGTAGAGGGAATAGCAAATGCTAAAAAAAAGATCTAGCCACAGTGAAAAATGTCCCTCTCTTACTCAATTTCTCTGTAGGAAGCAGCTCTCCTACAACATGGTCCATAAGACAGGACTGGTAAGGGGGGCATGTCCGAGACAAGAGGCATCCAGTGACCAGAGCGACCAATAAGGAACCTAGAAAGGAGCATGAACTGGTTATGTCCAGGCCTGGCCAGGGTAGATGGTGCTCCGGCTTTAAACCAGAGATCCCTCTGCTTTTCAGATAGGCAATATCCCTCCGGTGGAGAAAGGGAAATTAATCAGGTGTCAGAATTGTCTGAATAATTTAAGAGCACATATCGGCCTTTGCTCTAGTTCTTTACTCAACAAAGCATTTCACTCCACACTTTGAAAGAGCCCCATGTGGGTCCAGGAAATGTCAGTCCAGGTGTGAGTTCCCCCTAAAAACAAACACCAGCCTTCTGGTTTACCAGCTGCTTTGGGCGCTCTTCAGTCTTGACTCAAGTGTGCATCTGTAGCATGCTCTGGGTGTCCTAGGCCCTGCCTGCTCTTCCTGCACTCTCTGCATAAGAACCCTTCTCCCTTGAGCTCCAAGACCTGGTCACTTTTGCTAACTAAATCGACCTGGGAGACAAGTAGATTATATAAACCAAGCTTCTCCGGGGAAGGAGGGAAGATAATACTCCTCTGTGTACAGGGCTGGCAGAATACACATGAAACACCGCCCCCCACCCACCCCCACAACACACACACACCTTGGAGGTCAGTGCTGCTGTAAGATGCAGAGCTGTGGGGAAGCACATTACTGATCTGGCTGTAGAAACACGTTATATAAAACCTGCCCATTCCCAGGCAGGCTGAGGTTGAGATCTCACAACCTGAGGGGGAATTTCCGAAGGATTAAAGGCAGGACCTGCAGAGCTGTTGGTCCCAGGCTGGAAGTGCAGGGGCCTCGCCCTGAGATCGCAGCTACAAACAAGCAAACCTTGGGTTGGGGGTGAGGAAGGGCACACTGAACCGGAGCAATGTGCCCGAAGGCTCCAAGATCCCCAACTCTGGGGCAGTCGATGCACTTCCCCTGGGCCCAGGCTCCCCTCCCCACCCCATCCTAAAATCTACCCACCCTTCCATCCACCTATCCTATGAATATTGTTCTTTTAGGCACTGCAGATTCAGTAGCGAAAATGAAATAAGCAATGTTCTTATTTTTATAGCGTACATGTTCTAGTGAAAGGGGAGAGACTATAAACACATAAGCAGGTAATATAACAAATGATGAAAAATGCTCCATAGCACAACAAGGCAGGGCCAGGGGATGAGGGTGGCAGGGATTGGGGTGGGGGTGTCAGGGAAGACTTCTGCTACTTGACATCCATCCATCTACCCAGCCATCCACCCATCTATCCACTCTTGCTTCTTCCTCATTCAACCAGTGCTAAAGGCCTACTATGTGTATCAGATGGAGAAGCCCAGAATGAAGAGGCCCAGGCATAGCTGTTGGAGCTCAGGGCAACATGAACGAATTAGCTGATGTGTGCTGTGTGCCCCAGAAGTTGAACAGATGCCTCTGGCAGCCCAGAGGAAGGAATGAGGGCCCTGCCTGGGAGAAGGGTGAGGGAAGGCTTTGCTCGGGGGGTGGTACCTGAGCTGAGTCCTAAGGGGTTTGACTGGGGCACAAGAGAGAAGAAGAAGGTATGTTACAACCTCAACCTGCTGCCCAG